TTATCTCACTTCTGTTAGACGATTTATAATCTAAATGTATTAAATATTATAAAGTTTTAAAGTTCACATAAGCTGAATGGCGAAAATACCGATGCCTGAGCCTCAGAGGTTTTATTTTAAATAGTACCGTTTTTGTCCATAAAAAATTGGGTCGCTAATATGTTTAATTTGACTAATTCTGTTAGCACTTGTTCTTCTAAGCATTAATTTGTTCTGCCTTTGTGTACATTTTCGATGTCATGAAATAATACATTCTAATGAAATATCCTGCCATGATGTGACAATTTAAAAATCTTTTAGAAAAAAAACAATAATGGTAAGTTCATATTTGGCGTGAAAATTATATATGAAGTAATTTTGACGGTTTGCTTATAATATAAACAAATGAAAATTGTTATATCTCCTTAGTAGCGTACCTAGCATGGTATAATGCGACACTGGCAAGGGCTGGGCTATTCCGTTTATTCACTCTAAAAAATCCAGCCTAGAGTGGATACTCGGAATCGCGTGTTCATAATCGGAATTCCCTTTTGTCTGTTCTTCCAACTTTTTACCCCAAGTACAGTTCAACTCTTACACTTTAATTCTTAATTAATTTTTTATAAACACAAACTAAAACAAAAATAATAATTATTACGTATCGCTTTTACCGTTACCGTTACAGCCTATTAAAGTCTATGCATTACGTATTGCATTTAAATCAAATTAAACTTCCTTGTTTTAAATAATATTACATATTACGTAATTTATAAATTCTAAAATATGTCCAGAAAATTAGCAACACTAATTTCATTATGGGGTAGACGTAATTTGATATCCTAGATAAAGTCGCCACTTTTAATGTATATTTGCATTGGTGTTCTCAATCTCTGCTGCAACAGATGTGTTAGCGAAAAAAGTTATTTTTCAAGCATTCCATAAACTTTACCTTTGGATATTTGTCTTTAACTTGTTTAATCCTTTATTTTGTTTTATGTCAAGAATCCAATGAATCTGTGGTCCTGTGAGGTACCTACTCCTTTTATTTCAGTATTGACCTTTCAAACAAAAATATGTACATATATACATATTTTTATAGGTATGCTTATGTCTACTAAGTATCTTGGGCCAGTTTTTATCATGTTTCTCTAAATGACTGGACACAACCGAGAGACAAAATCGGAAGGAAAATAATATATACGAATTCCCGTTATCCACCCTGTCTGGGGTGAGTAGATTAACACGCGTTTCCGAGTATCCACCCTAGGGTGGATTCTTTAGTATGGATAAACGGAATAACCCCTCACGCTGCATTATACCATGACAAAATCCTTAGTCTAATTATATTGAAATTTTCGATGTATTATATGATAATTTAAAATTTAAAATTTTATACAACTGACTTCAATATAAGTTATTAAGAATAACTCAAATAACTCAAAAACTATTGGTCTGACCTAGATCAATTAATATCAATATAGATAAATTATAATTTAATCGATGGTAAAAAACTTCGACGTTCGAGTTCTCGTTGTTTAAGCGATAACCGTATAGATAATATTTTTGATACTATTAAAGTATGTAATTGAATTAGATTCTTAATCGGCTATATTTTTAATAAGCAAAACATTTCAAATAAAGTAACATTTTGTCCACCTAATGTCGCACGCTTACTTCGTACTGGACAAATATGCATGCAGCGTTGAAGAGAGAGCTAAAAGTCTTTTATCTGAAAACCTCGCCTTAATTAGCGGTGATAATAAATTTAAATTAAAAATTTTGTACAGCCGACTTCAATATAAATTATTAAGAATGACTTAAAAACTATTGGTCTGAACTTGATCAAATTCATATGGGACCACACGAGAAGTATCACAGCTTTCATATAAAAAAAAGAATCATCGAAATCGGTTCACCCAGCAAAAAGTTATGAGGTAACACACATTAAAAAAAACATACGCGTCGAATTGAGTACCGTCTCCTTTTTGGAAGTCGGCAGAAAACGGAAATAATACTAGGTTCCTTTTCGATTACAGCATATGCCGACATGTGAATATTGATTTTATTCAAAATCAGCTATGATGAAATAAAAAAAAAACTAACATATACAACATAAAACTGCACAGATAAATATTCTATATTTAAAAACACGATTTCAATAAAAATTAAATTCTATAAAACCGCAGCGAAATTCTATGCAATTAAAAAAAAAATACCTTCTCGATTCTCGAACAGTTTTAGGTGCCAATGCACGGAAACATATGCTCTGTTTACTCAACAAAAGTCAATACAAATAAGGGGGAAACTTGCTTACGAATTTAGTCGTAATTTCTATTTGCCTTCGTTATCTGTGGCTTATTAATGCAAATGTATTGCGTTAATTTAAAACTATTCGTTATCTAATAACGTTTATAATACATGAATTGTAGACACAATATAATTAGTAGCACAATTTATAATATTACATTTGTTGTACCATATAATTTAAAATTTAAAATTTTGTACATCTGATTTCAATATTAGTTATTAAGAATAACTCAATAACCATTGATATGACCTTGATTAAATTCATATGGGACCATACGAGAAGTATCAGCTTTCAAATAAATAAAGATTCATCGAAATCGGTTCACCCAGTAAAAAGTTATGAGGTAACACACATAAAAAAAGAAAACAGTCGAATTAAGCTTTTTCTCATAGATTTTTAATGTCTTTTTTCTAATTTTTGACAAAACAGGCTCTATAACATTTATTGTGTTGGTATAGCTATGTAGAGTATATCATAATTATTAAAGTTTCAGATCTATTTATGAATTTCCCACTGGATCAAAATGTTTTTTACTTCTGAATATTGCTAAGCTCTTAACAAAAATAAGTCATAGTTTATCATCTCTGCTTAAAAGAAAATTCACTTCCTTTCTAACCTCTATACGGCTGTGGGCTTATAGCTTCTAGATTGCAGCAATAATCAAGAGTTTTGTACACACATAAGGTATTAGACACAAAAATAAAATGTAACTCTACCGACTCTACATCAATTTCACAATGGCAGTGGGTGTACTGCTTCTTAATAATTAATAAAATGCTTTTTTATAATTAATTGAATCAGGCGTTACTTTGAGGTAATCCATTATATTAAAGCTTTTAAAGACTTCGCAAACATCCGCGCTATAAAATAAAATGGTGTGTCTTACCTAGTATGTAGAGCACCTCCCGCCCTCCCTCCATTGCGTTCACTATCAAATCAAATGTAGGTTCCAATAATGCTTCATAAACAAAGAGTTTTTTTATAGAATAAGAGTAAAAACGAGAGGTAAAAACGAAACGAGCACACATATCACCTGATTGAAGTGGGTACTGTTGTCTATTGATATCTACATTTATCCCCTGTTACAATTTAAAATGCATATGCGTTGTCACCCTTGAGGACTAAGATTTAATGCCTCGTTTCCTGTGAAAGGGGTCTCCGATTCTCTACACTCTCCATACGAAACACAGCAGCATTCAGCTGCTATTTTACGCTGGTATTCGTTGAGAGCGTGATCCTTCCCCGATCGAGCCGACCAATTCGTGCTACAACCATAGTATAGCTGCAGCATGGCTCTACCACGTACAAAAAATTAATTAATTAAAGATAATCGATCTAATAATAATAAATACAACTAAAATCCATAAGCCAATACAATGTCGTAACGGTTTGCACATGAATCTGAAACTCGTGACTGAGAAATGAACGGCACTTAAGAACAGTTTTATTATTACTGATTAAAACATTAAAAAAAATAATAAAACGAAGTTATTTATTACTCCCGCCTACTCTGATTATATTAAGATCTTCCAGAGCTATCATATTGCTTGTTGTTGTGAAATAGGAGCCCAAAATCAGTTGAAAACGATTTAATTTAAATAATAAATAACATGTGATTATTAAAATTTACGAAACATTTAGTACGCGTCGCTGCGCCGCTCCAATGCGTGTTTGTTGACAACAATAAACTCAAAATTTACATAGTCTCGAAATATTTCAGATAACTCAGAATTGCAAATTTCCTCACGATATTTTCCTTCACCGTCGTGCATATCCACAATTAAAAGTATACATTATACAGAATAACTAGCTGGCCAGGCAGACGTTGTTACGCCCTCTCCGACGACCCTGTATCCTATAAAAAAATTTAAATTCGTAATAATAAATATTGAGGGTCACTTATAGGCATAAAACCTATCCTATCTCTCAAGTTGGATCAAACTGCACACAGTGTGCAAAATTTCATTGCAATCAGTTCAGTAGTTTAGGAGTTCATCGCGGACAAACAATGTGACACGTAATTTTTATATATAAAGATTAATAGAACTTATATATCAACAATTAAAATCGTAATAAACAATTTCGTATGCCTCGACGGAGATTTAACTTGGTTTTTTCGCGTACTCCTTCTATGTTACCACGGCTTTTAACTTGGTTGATATTAAAAATCCATAAATAACATACATTACAATTATTTATGAAAAGATTACATTACTAATTACAATTAATTATATATTACTAGCGATCCACCCCGGTTTCGTACGGGTGGTTTCTGGATCTCGACAACAGTGCCACCTACCGGGTCCAGTTGTGAATCTAAACCATCGAGGGACTCAAATGCGCATAAATTTAATCAAAATCGTTTGAGCCCTTTTCGAGTTTTAGCGACACTAATGGACAGCAATTGATTATTATATATAGAGATAGTAAGGAATTAATAATATTTTTTCGTTTGTGACTAAGTTTTTTGCCGAATAAAAACTTCTAACAAAATGACAACAACTCAATAATTAATTAAGGAATTGCTCAAGATTCAAATTTTATATATTTACTACAAATCGAATAGAAAATATGTTGTAATCAAATCAGATTTATCACAAATTTACAGCAATTGATTTTATATATAGAAAAGATAATAATATGCTTTGGACTCTAACTTAGACATATGACGTTTAGAACGCTTCCATGCGATAACCGGTAAACAGTCAGTCGCAGTCGTGTGTTGGCCAGATACCACAAAGTACATTAAACCAGATACCGCAACGCATCAATTGGATTTACAATATAATACTCTAAGATTCGATAGTTTTCAACAATTTTTTTTTATTCGTAGAACTGCATTATATGTTAGTGCGGGTCCGTTTTTTAAATAAAAGGTAAGACTCTTTTCTTATAAATTATAAAAATATGTTTAAAACCTTATAAATGTTTTAGAGCTATTGTTATTTAAAACGTAATTAGGTATATTGTTTTAATAAAAAAAATGTATCCCACTCATTTAAATTTTCCTTTTATACAAAATATTTAAAAAATGTTATTATAATATTATGCTTTTATACTGTATTCTATAATATAAAATATAGAATACAGATCCAAATATTTATGATACAAGATGTTTATAGTCTTATAAGCAAACTTTATCATTTCGATTTTCAATACATCAAAGCAAACGTCCTCTGTTGGAATGTTTGATGTAAAAAGGCCACTTTGACCATAGATAATATTATACTATATGTATAGTACCTTGACAGTGGCCTTTTGCGCGAGTGCCCGAAGAAGAGTAATGTTTTTCGAAAGTATATATGTACTATGTATGTACATACTATGTCTATTTCTTTGACACGCTGTGTCCTAAACGACTTGATGAATTTTAACATAGTATGAGGTTATGAGGCGACGTTAGAGATTAGTTTTAATTGTGAGAGATATAAAAGGTTATTTAACATTTATATATTACATCTTCAAATACAAAACTAGGGAGGGGAAGGTATTTTTTACACAGTCGGTGTTTTTTAAATTACTGATTTAACCAGTTTGCTTGTTACTTTTTAACCGTCTGTACACTTAGCAGTTTTTTAAAGTTTTGAAAGGTTTAAAGATGAAGAATATTTTTTAATAATTGTTCTAATTTGTATGATATTTGTTTGAAAAGCAGCACATGAATATGGTAATGTTTTAAGCGAGCAATTCTTGTATATTATTTTTTTATAGAAAAAAGGTGACAACAGAAGCACATTATACCTGATGGTAAATGGATACTGTAGCCCATAGACATCTACATATATCCTCGATTAAGAATCAAAATGCAATACGCTTTGTCAACCCTGAGGACTAAGATGGATAGTTTCTAGAAAAAAGATTATCGGGTTCTCTACACTCACTATGGTGTTCTGTGAGAGCGTGTTCCTTCCCCAATAATATAGCTGCAGTATGGCTCTACAACGTATAAATACCAACCCCACTATATGATAGAATACCATTGTATGTTAAGTAAATGTAATTGTAATTGCGTTCTCGGAAACGGCTCTAATGATCTGGATGAAATTTTATATTCAGATACTTTTAGTCTACAAATTTATCTAGAATGGAATATTTTATAATTTTCAACTACTTTGAGCAAGGCTTGGTCTCACCCTCAAGTATTTTCTGTTAATACGTAGAAATAATCTGTATACCTTGTCCTTTTGATACGTTAAATATATTTTTTCTGATGAAATACTTTTTCTTTTAAGAAAAAAAAATCTAATTAGGAATAAATTCTTTGTCATATTTTTCAAAAAATTAAGGTCACAAAATAAATATTTCGTTAATAAAATATTTATTTTAAAGTATTTGCATTTACCCGTATTTCAAATACTATGCAAACATAAGGCATATTAAATGCAATAAATAGTCGTAAAGCAAAACATATTTCTCAAAGAAATAAAGTAATAATATTTATAATTATACTTTTATGTCAGAGAAAGTTAGTAAATTTCTTATATCTCTGTTAGTAAAATAGTTTGCACAGCTAAAATTACAAGGAATAAATAAACAATAATGAAAATAAAATAAATAGTACTTTCCAGCTTTCCACAGCAAAATATCCCTGTGGTGCTACAAAATCGAAGCAGCTCCAATAGCGTCCAACGCTAACGCTGAATAATATTCATTGTCGAGTATTCGTGTAAATATAGGATATAATTAAGCATTTTGAAGTCATTTTTATATTGGACACTAAGGGCTACTAGGAGCCTTTAAGTGTGTAATTAGTCTACAGACTGCTTGCTACGAGCGACAAGGAAATATGCGGTCCAACCCGTTACTTTTCACCGTTAATGCTCTACGTTCCCTCTCAATGTCGAGACCTGTCCCAGATATTGTTTTACTTTGTTCAATATGCAACCACAGAGCAAATATCCCACTAACGTTAACATTTCGCCCCCGACCGAAAGAACATATACTCGATTTTAATGCAATTACATATAAAAGTTCGGGGTGAAAGTTTCTTCGTATTTTATACACAAATTCAAGAGATTTTTAGTTTCAAAGTTTATTTACATTTAATTATAATATATATTTGCCATTTTGTTCGATAACTTGTTGCCATCTTGTAGATAGTGACATAATCCCGTTGTTGTAGAAATCTTGGGATTTATGATCAAAAAAATGCGACAAGTAATTTTGACAGTCCTCTCTTGATGTTAACCTAACACTACCGAAAGAATTCTGAAGAGACTGAAACAGGTGAAAATCTGAGGGTGTAAGGTCAGGACTATATGGTGGATGCATTAACACTTCCCAATCAAGCTCTCTCAAATTTTGCTGTGTGGCCAAAATTGTGTGTGCTCTTGTGTTATCATGATGAACGACTACTCTTTTCTATTGAACAATTCCGGCCATTTTTTCTCAATTTCTTGCTTGAGTCTCATTAATCGTTAGCAGTAGAGATTGGAATCGATGATTTTGCCCGCCGGTAAAAGCTCAGAATAAACGATGCCCTTCCAATCCCACCATACACACAACATTACCTTGTAGCGTTTTAATCCAAGTTTCGCTACAGTCTGTGGAGCGTGCCTACCCTTTGACCATGATCTTTTTCGCTCGTTCTTGTCGTAGTTGATCCACTTTTTATCACCAGTGATCCATCTTTTCAAAAATGATTCGGTTTCATTACGTAATACACGATTCATTAGGTTTCTTTCAGTGAGCTCGTGTAGTATCCAAATATCGAGCTTTTTTGTATAGCCAGACATTTTCAAATGGGTGAAAACTGTTTTGTGGTTAATTCTCAATTCCTTGGCATGTGGTAACTACTAACATTTAATTTTGCTCCACTTTTTAAAAATTGTATCGACTTTATCTGTATGAGTATGACCAGAGCTAACTGCGTCTTTGACATCAGAATTCCCCAACTGAAAACGCTTCAACCAACTTTGTGCTACTTTACTGACACTGCATTAGGTCCAGAAACATCACAATTTTTTTTCGCGGCTTGTGTCGTGTTTTTCATTCTTTTGTAATAAAACTTCAGAATGTATGAATTTATTCGTTAGATTCACTCATTTTGGTGGACAGAAAAAAAGTGTTTTTTTTTTACTTTTTATTTTTCTTTTTCTTAATGTCCTATGTATATTGATATCAAAAGCAGCCAGATACAAACAGTACAACCAAAGAGATTTTTCTTTAATTTTATACAAACATAATTAAAAATTAAAAATGTTGTACAACCAACTTCAATATAAATTATTAAGAATAACTCAAAAACTATTATATGGGACTACATGAGAAGCACCAGCTTTTAAATTAAAAAAAAAATATCCATATCGGTTCACCCAGAAAAAAGTTATGAGGTAACACCCATAAAAAAAACTTACAGTCGAATTGAGTACCGTCTCCTTTTTGAAGTCGGTAGAAAATACAGAGAAACTTTTTCCCCGACCTATTATATAAAAAAATGTATCTTTAAATGTGTCAAACAAAATAAATTACACAATACGGGCATTCTTCTCAGAGCACTGATCGAATGGGTCAGCTGCACCAGGTCGTTATCAAAACTGATGTATTTTATTGCAAGCTCCATGTCCCTCGTGCAACGTAACTGATGATTTTAATGCAAACTCCGTTTATGTAACGTTCCTTGATCAGCTCACTGATGTACAGATTGAAGACTTTATTGACATAATAGAAACAACACTTTCATTAAAAATTATTGGAATAAGGAATAGGGTCAAAGTATGTCAAAATCATGCTAGAAATATACCACTGCAAAACCCAGGTCTATTCTATTTTTTTTAAATAAGTGATGAGGCTGAGAACTTGCACTGGCACGAATCTAGTGCAAGTTATAACCTCATGGTTTCATGTCGAGTTATTAGCACATCATTTCGCGACTTCGAAATATTTTTCATTTTACAGACGTACTTGTACATGAGACGTCCCTGTTTTCCTTATCGTTTACCGCTAGGCACGTGGTAAATCAAAATTGAAAATTGCTACAAAAGTTTTTATCTGGGGTGCGCCGTTAGTGCCCGGTTCATAACTTACCACGGCGTAGCTGGGTATTAACCTAAATAATATAAAGGGCTTTGCCCTCTTCATGTAATTTTAGGTTAATCTTGAAAAAATAGTGATAGTGAAAAGATAGTAATAATTTTATGTTATTATTGATTAGATAGTAACACAAAAGAAAAAAGTTTTGTTGTGTACTTTTTGATACATAATCTTTTTTAAATACAGCTTAACCTACCTAAAAACGTTATTTTATCAAGAGGATCGCCATACTTTAAGAATCGTTTCCTTAATTTTTATATATCTGAAACATTTTTTATTGGTGATTTGGGTGTTTATTAATGGTACATTGATTTTTCGAAAGCTATATGAAAGTATATTATGTTCCATAATAGGGAATACTTAGTATTTCACTGCTGGCTCAAAGTCACTCAGCGTGCGATAAAAGGGGCTATGCTCGAATGGTATAAAATCCGTAACTAGTATATCTGCGGAAGAACAAGAGGACCTGACATAGCCTATGCGCTAAAGTCGCAATGGGCGGGCCATATAGGTCGTGCAACCGATAGCCGATGGTGAAAAAAGGTTCATGAGTTATACTGACAAGTGCAGTGATGGGTAACCAACCACTTTATCGAGTGGAGACCTAATGAAACATGGACGCAGGTGGCCTTAGGACTGTGCTTTGTGGCAATCTATGGAGGAGGTGGTGGAACTGTGATGGGCCGTAGTTATTTTTATAGGGTATTAGTGTAATGGATGATGGATAAAAGTTAGCATTTACTAGAATATTTGATTATGTATTACAGTGTAATGTTTTGTAACCATTAAAAATCTCAAATTTTTATTATTTAATAGATACAGAGATAATTCTGTATTGATATAT